GGCTCGGTGGCTCAGCCTGTAATCCCGCGCTTTGGGAGGCTGAGGTGAGTGGATTGCCTGAGCCCGAGGGTTCGAGACCCGCCTGGGCAACTTGGTGAGATCTCATCTCTACAATAAATCAAAAAATTAGCAGGGCATGGTAGCGCGCACCTGTAGTTCCAGCTACTTGGAAGGCTGAGGCGGAAGGATCGCCGGAGCCCAGCGGGTCGAGGTTGCGGTGGCCAGGAGCGTGCCACTGCACTCCAGTCTGGGCGACAGAGAGAGACTCCAACTCAAAAAAAAAAAGATGAAATATGCATAGAGAATAGTGCGGACAATATACAAAGGACTTTAATATTCACAAATGAACCCCCGTGAAACCACAACTCTGGCCAAAATGCTTGACAGCATTCAAAAGTCTAGAAATCTTTCTCACAGCTTAGAGCCTTTTGGCGGTGTCTGCTGTGGCAAAAGGAAATGAGTGTTGGGTCCAAGTAAAGGGTATACATTGATGTGTGAAGCAAAGGACCTTTGGGGGAGTTTTTCTTAGAGCAAGGGCTGAATATAAGTTGACTTACGGAAAGATGTATATGGAAGGGGCCAGTTATTATAAAGTGAGTCACTCTCTTAGAATTTCTAAGATTGTATTATGAGAGAGAACCTGATTGGTCACCTTTACTCCTTCAGCTATTTCATAGGTCACTGAATGGCCAACCGTTTGACTGCATTCTGCTCAGGTGACCAGCCCCATCCAATCAGAGACTATTTGGGTTGGAGTCATGTGACATGAAACCTAGGCCTATAGGAGGGCAATTCTACACGAAGGATGTGGGTGTGTATGGTGGCTTGTAGAGAGAGAATTGCCCTCTCATAGCAAAAGAAGGTGGGATGCATTCCTGGAGGGGCTACTTAAGAGACATCTCAACTCAAAGATTTTATCGTGGAACTTTTTTTTTTTTGAGTTGGAGTCTCACTCTTGCCCAGACTGGAGTGCAGTGGCACGCTCCCAGCCACTACAGCCTCGACCTGCTGGGCTCCTGCGATCCTTCCGCCTCAGCCTTCCAAGTAACCGGAACTACAGGCGTGTGCTACCACGCCTGGCTAATTTTTGATTTATTGTAGAGATGAGGTCTTGCCAAGTTACCTAGGTGGGTCTCGAACCCGCGGGCTCAGACAATCCACTCACCTCGGCCTCCCAAAGTGCTGGGGTTACAGGCTGAGCCACCAAGCCCGGCCAGATCTTCATTCTTAAATATTGTATTATGTATTTCTAAAACAGGGGATGGCAAGCTACAGCTAATGGGCCAAATCTTATGAGCTGAAAATTGTTTTTACATAAGGGTACCTGATCAAACCAGGCAAAGTGAGGACTAAAGGATGGCCCAAACTTTACCTGTACAATGACGACTTGTATAACTAATCCTGAATTGTACCCCACAGCTTTAAAATAAAATAAAATAAAAATAGTTTTTACTATTTGATTGATGATAGGGAATACTAACTTTGAACCTCAATTAAGCAAGATGTTATCCCCTGAAAAAATTCCATTTTTCTCATTAGTAGACAAATATGGGGGCCAGTTGCAGTGGCTCATACCTGTAATCCCAGCACCTTGGGAGGCTGAGGCAGGAGGATCCCTCTAGGCCAGGAGTTTGAGACCAGCCTGGGCAACATAAAACAACCCCCATCTCTACAAAATTTTAGAAAATTAACTGGGCATGGTGGTGTGTGCCTGTAGTCCCAGCTACTTGAGAGGCTGAGGCAGGAGGATCAATAGAGCCTAGGAGTTCGAGGCTGCAGTGAGCCATGATTCCACCACTGCACTTCAACCTGAGTGACAAAGCAAGATTCCATCTCCAAAATTTAAAAGGTAGATTTGTATGCACAAAATTTATTAGTACTAAATTTTGAATTTTATCCATTAAAATTGTGAAGAAATATTTTTCTCTTGTTGCTAAGTATCTATATAATGCCTTCCATTTTTGTCTTTTGGTTCACACAGCCTAAAATATTTACTATCTGAGCCTTCATAGAAAAAGTTTGCCAGCTGGGCTCGGTGGCTCAGCCCGTAATCCCAGCGCTTTGGGAGGTTGAGGTGAATGGATTGCCTGAGCCTGCAGTTCAAGACCCGCCTGGGCAACTTGGCAAGACCTCATCTCTACAATAAATCAAAAAATTAGCCGGGCGTGGTAGCGCGCGCCTGTAGTTCCAGCTACTTGGTAGGCTGAGGCAGAAAGATCGCCGGAGCCCAGCAGGTCGAGGCGGCGGTGACCGGGAGCAGCCA